TAAACTCAATAAATCCTTAATATCTTAAGTAAATTTTAGTTTTATTTTATATTTTAACTTACTCCAAAGTATAAATAGTTATAGGTTATCTCAATTTACGTCTTTATATATTTTTATTTTTTTTATTATTGTTTTTAATTAATTTTTCACCTCCATATTTCTAGCTAATATAGAAAAAAATCTATGAGTAGATCAATATATAAATAAAAATATAGATATAGATATAGATACAAATATACATATAAATTTAATTATAGATATATAGATAGATTTGTCTAAGATCTATTTAGATTATGTATAAGATTCATTAAACTACTTCCATAATTATGTTTCTATATATAATTTTTAGTTATTAATGTTGTCCTAAAATTGCCAAGTGACTTTATTTTAGCTTGCCACTTGGCGTAACCGCAATGCATACTACTCTCCTTTTAATATAATATAGATTTATTAATTATTCGAACACATTTTATCTAAATATTTTAGTAATATTTACGTATAAAATATTCGTTTGCATGATTTATCAGTATTAATATGAATTTATTATTCTTTTTATTAAAATATCTTTTGTTAATTATTTAATTTTTCTTACCTTAAAAATAATTTGTATAATCNAAGATTCATTAAACTACTTCCATTAATTATGTTTCTATATATAATTTTTAGTTATTAATGTTGTACTAAAATTGTCAAGTGGCTTTATTTTAGCTTGCCACTTGGCTTAATCACAACGCATACTACTCTCCTTTTAATATAATATAAATAGATATAGAAAATATGTCCTTGCCTTAGGTCTTTATATATACGTCAATATATGTGTGAATATAAAGGTTAGGTCTTTCTACTTGCATTGCATTGCATTCAATTGAGTTGCGCAATAAAGTGTTTGATTGATTTTATTTTGTAGATGGATGATTCCTGTATTTCAAACTGGAATAATTGTTTGGTGGTGATTAATGCAAGTAGAAAGTCTATGGAAGTACACATTGTAGTTGGTAATGTGTGGGTTAGGCGCACATCAAGTGTTTAAACCTTGCCGCAGACAATCAGTGGCGGGGCCACCTTATCCAAAGGGGTGTCAATTAACACCCCTTCGTATGTATGTAGTTCAATGATTTTTATTTTATATATATATATATATTATTATATGTTGACTTCCCTTGACTTTTTCGTATATTTAGTTATTTATATCTTGACACCCCCTAATAAAAATTCTGGCTCCGCCACTGTAGACAATAGCCTTGGATTTAAGGGGTAAAGTGTAACCATGGTCCACCGAGTTTGAACCATGCGCTACTAGCCCTCGTGGATTTCTGGCTCAGCAAAGAAAATATTTCCTATCATTTTGAGTGAGAGCAGAGAGGAAGTTGCAAGTACAAATATAGTCTTCTTCCTGACACTTGATATATATATTGAATAAATATGCATGACTAGTGCAAGAAAACAAACTAGTACAACTTTATGATATGGCGAAGAAACTTAAACAGCAGCCAGCATGCTGCACTTTATAGTAGAGCTTGAAATTAGCAATGTTTAAGAACAAATTTCCTCTCACCTTGGGCCTGATAGGATTGAGGGAAGTAATGGAGCAGAATCTATCATATTGATATCTGATACGGTTTGTGGCACAAGGAAGTTGTAGTCCAGACTCTTTTCAACATCCACCGCGCCCTCAATGACCATGACAACTGTTGACATTGATGGTCTCTTGGTGTAATCGCGTTGTAGACACCACGCAGCAACTTGCATTGTATCTACTACTTCTTCCTTATAAAGCTGCATATCTTCACTGCGCTTATCAATCAGATCCATTAATCGCCCTTCCTCTGCCTTTCTCTTGAGAAGACTCATCAATAGCCTTTGCTCCTCGGGCTCAGATGGCTCGAAATTTTTCCTTCCACACAAGATCTCCAAGACTACTACGCCAAAGCTATAGACATCTACCTTTTCTGTTATAACTGCACTAAGCCATTCAGGAGCTAGATAGCCAGGAGTACCTCTCATGGTAGTCACAACTTTGCTCTGAGTCCGATCAATTAGCTTGGAAAGTCCGAAGTCAGAGAGCTTAGCATTATACTTCTCATCTAATAGAATGTTTTGAGGCTTAATATCCAAATGTAGAATTTTTTGCCTGCATTCATCGTGGAGGTAGGCTAATCCTTTGTCTATGTCATGAATAATCTTCTTCCTGCATTTCCAATCTAGAACGATTTCTTGATTTCCAGAGTAGATCCATTTGTCTAGCGATCCATTGCTCATAAACTCATATACTAGAAGCCTGTGAGATTTCTGAGCACAGAAGCCAATTAATTGGACCAAGCTGAGATGATGTATGCTGCCAATGGTTTCAACCTCAGCTAGGAATGATTTCTTGGCTTTGCCTATTCCATCAAGGCATTTCACTGCTATCTTTGTGTCGTCTTTTAAGGTCCCTCCGAACACTGATCCAAATCCCCCTTCACCAAGCTTTTTGCTAAAGTTCTCAGCTGCAGACTTTAGATCGTCGTAAGAAAATCTAACAGGCATTCCTGGCATGTTATCTAGATAATGCTCTTCCACTTCATCTTCCTTTCTCTTTTTCCAGAATGTGAAAATTATGCATCCAATTATGATACCAAGAATGGAAATTCCTGTAACAGATCCCACTATAGCACCATTCACGTGCCTCTTCCGTTGAGTTTCATTCTGTACTTTCAGAAACGCATAGGAATTATACCTTGTCTTGTCCTTCTCATTATTCATCAACGAAAAGATCTCGGATGGAAGGTGGCACTCCCCTTTAGAAGAATTTGAAGCATAACCAAAAATAGCAGCTTTACAAGAACAATTCCTCAAACATGCATTTTTACAGGTAGTCATGTCTGTATCAATAATATCTGCACCAAATGCGAAATAATTCATATCATTGAGCTTCAAATATCTATGGTTTTTTGAGTCATTACAAGTCATTTTTGTGATCTCAGAACAACCAAGATTAGGCTGCCTGTCATTTATCTGTCTAAAATAGTTTGTTGAATCAGAACTTGATTTGGGACAACTACACTGTCCATTTGAGCAAATGCCATATCTTCCACATACCATTGGATAACCACATTCACCAATAGAAAAAGTAAAAATGTCATTGACCTCTTTCCACTGGTCTTGCCACTCATACACTTTCAAGTGCCCATCAAATTCCAGTTTCATAAATTGAGCTGAAGATACAGGAGCAACGGAAACCAGTATCTCGGAGTCGTTGGAATTTGTGAATAAAGATAAGCTTCCATTCAAATACATGACATAGTTGGATGCTTTACTATCAGTTAGGTTAGTAATGGATCTCTTAAAATATGTTTGTGGTGGACTCGACTCAACGAGAGCAATCAAACCACTATTTGTGGCAGAGAAAGAATACAAACCTCCTGTTGCGGAAGCCAAATGTATAGAGTGTGAATAAGTCACAACTACTATACCAAAAATTA